GGAGAGAAAAAAATTAAATAAATAAATAAAAAGGGAGAAACTTGAGCCTCTGAGATGAATATTTGTCAAGAGAGTTGACGTAAGTTTCATTTGCATAATGACTTTGTACTTCTGCATTAATAAAATTTGCATATGAAGCCATGTTAATTACTCCTGATCATGCTTTTTGCATTCATGCATAGTAATTTTCTCCGACTTGTGAGAATTAATGTCTTGGCATGGGGGGGGAGGGGGCGCGGGGACTGTCAGGTCCCCTTGCCAGTGTCCCTCGCTCACAGACGCAGGCTCCCTGTCTGTCTCCTTCCTTGATCTGTGACTCATTTCTGCACTATCAGTAGGAGTTCTCGCCTTAAAAAAATGCATCGGTTGAAAGACACCAGTGGGGAGAAAAATAGACCTCTCGGCACAGCACAGTGTATTCCTGGCCACCTCTGTAGCTGGGAACAACACGGTCTGCAATTCCCCGCATTTGGGAGGGGCAGCCCCGAGCCTGCAGGAGGCAGGCGGTGCAGGGGAGGTTCTTGTCCCGCTCCAACCTAGGGGTGGTGTGTGTACGCGTACGTGTGTGTGTGTGTGTGTGTGTGTGTGTGTGTGTGTGTGTGTAGGCTCCTGGCGGTGGGTGTGTCCCTGGCTAGTGCGCATGTGTCAGGCTGGAGCTGAGTGTCTTTCAGGCCTCGCTGAAGGGAAGTGGTCTTCAGGCCTCCTTCTGGAGTCTCCGTACCCAGGAGGCATGAACAGTGATCATGTCTCCTGTTCTGACCTTTAAACACATTTCAGGGGTCTGATCTGATCTGGAGACTTTTTTGGGGGAGCTGAGAGCAAGAAGGCAGAGTCTGACCCACTGGGCCAGGGTACCTTCTTTAGTCATTGTAAGCCTTGGTTTCCTCACTTGTCAGAGTGGGAACATGACACCTACCCCATAGGAAGGCTCTGGGCTTAACGTGAGATAATACAGGTATTAGTTGCTTATGTATTTTTGCCTACTTTAAATGATATGAGTCACCTAATCTCCTATAAAGCTGAGTTGGTTATTTGGCTTTCCCCTGCCACACGTCTCCATACACATGGGTCTGTTTGGACTAACACAGGCCTCCGAAGAAAGTATTTAAAAATGAAATTGTGCTGTGGAGCCCATGGCCTTGCACGTGGTAGCCCAGTACCCCCACCCAGGAGACCAGGAAGCTTTTGTACTCTTGTCAAGCTGAGGACAGTGCTGTGCAGAGTGCTCACAGAAGGATGGTGATCAAGTCCACTGACCTTCCCTTTTACAAAGGAGGGAACTGAGGCTCGGAGAAAGGGTCCGCCTTGGGATGCATTGTCAGGAAATGGTAGGGGAGGAATCTGAACCTAGCACCCCCCATACCCTCCAGCTGTACCCTCTCTCTGAGCACTGTTGGTTTCCTGTCTGTCCTGGGTCACAGATGATCACAAGTGCTTTCTGGATGAACTCTTTTTTTTTTTTTGTCAGTTGTGGGGCTTGAACTCTGGGCCTGGGCGCTGTCCCTCAGTTCTTCAGCTCGAGGTGAGTGCTCTACCACTTGAGTCACAGCGCCATATCTGGTTTTCTGGTGGTTTATTGGAGATAAGAGTCTCGGGGCTGGGAAGGTGGCTCAGTGGAAGAGTGCTTGCCTTGCATGCATGAGGCCCTGGGTTTGATTCCTCAGCACCACATAAGCAGAAAAAGCTGGAAGTGGCACTGTGGCTCAAGTGGCAGAGCGCTAGCCTTGAGCTGAAGAGCTGAGGGACAGCGCCCAGGATGAGTTCAGGCCCCACGACTGGCAAAAAAAAAAAAGAGTCTCACAGACTTTCCTGCCCTAGCTGGCTTTGAACTGAGATCCTCAGATCTCAGCCTCCTGAGTAGCTAGGATTACAGGTATGAGCCACCTGTGCCCAGCTTCTGCCTGAACTTTTAAAGGCAGGCAGACACCCCCATCTTTGTGGAAAAACAAAGCTGGTATGTGGACTCTCCTATATATATATATATATATATATATATATATATATATATATATATATATATATATATATTTAATTGAGTAATGAGGTTTGAACTCAGGGCCTCACACTTAATAATAGATAGCTGTGAGTCATGCTCACAGCTCCCTGGCTTTTTTTTCACTTGAGTTACTTTTTGGATAGTGTCTTGAGGTTCGCCTGGGGCTGGCCTTGGACCAGGATCCTTCTACCTATGTCTTTTCTCCTTTGCAACTGATCCCATATTGTGAATGAACCACCATGCATGATGTATCTATTGAGATTGTTTGTGTGTGTGCGTGGGGGGCGGGGGGCTCACTAACTTTTTGCTTAAGCAAATAGCTGGGATTACACCGTGCCAGACTGACTTTTTTCTTGTAATTAAGATTCACATATGTAAAATCCGTTTTGCACCAACAGTGGTTTTGAATGTATTCACTAGGCTTTGTCACTACTGTCTAATTCCAGATGATCTAATTCCTCCTAAAAATACCTCGTGCTTCATAGTCCTCACTTTCCAGCTGCCTCCTAACCCTGCAAGCCACGGCTCAGGATCCCACCTGGGGAAGCAAACAAGGGATGCTGCCTTCCTTCTTCCTTGCTCTGGCTTTTCAGTGCATGGATTTCTTGTGGTCTCGCTGTGGGCAGAGTTCTGGTTTGAGCTGTTTCTTAGGGAACCTCCTGCAGGGCGCAAGGTGCTCTGAGAGTCCCAGAGAGGGTCCAGACCCCGTACCCCCTCTACTGCCCCTGAAACAGGTTGACTTCAGTGAGGCCAGACTTCATAAAGAGGCCTTGAGGCCTGCTTGTTCCTACTAGCATCACTACCTGGAGCGTGATCTCCTTGACAGACCCTGGCCTCAGACGCTGACCTGGCTCTGTTGGCCCGGTGGTTGGAGGATCCCTTCCTTCCTGCCCCTTTGCCCTCTTGACATCAGAGCCGTTTCCCTTCAGCCTTGGGCTGACTGTCACAAGACCACTTAGGGCTCCAATTGACTTCTCAGCTGTGATGGGTAGTGCTGGCAGGGCTGTGACTTCCCCTAGAAATGGAGCCAGAGTTGGAGTCAGAGGTTGGCCTTTTGCAGCGACCTGGGAGCAGGCTGAGGTGAAGTATGTCCAGGTCTCCACATGGCTCTGGATCATAGGCTCCTTGGGTTTCTTGGTCACTCCCTCCCTCCATCTGAAGCCGTGGAGGGAGGAACAACTGGATTTGTATCCCACAGCTCTCTGAGCCGCTGTTCCCCTGTAGAGTAAAGGTGATTCTTCTTCCGAGCAAGGTGGCTGTGGTATAATCAGCACCAATGGCTGATGATGGCCTTGGGCCTCAGTGGGGTCCCCCCCCGGACTCAAAGGCAGTAGTGGACCAGGTCAAGAGCATGGGGTCAGGTGCTAGCAGCCTTTCAGGCAAGCTTTCCAGAGGAGGCTGGGGACATGGGCCTGCCCTTCCTTGGAGCTCACACTAAACCTGGGGCCTGACTTCCCACTCAATCTCTGGGGTTGGAACTGCTCAGGGGTTCCTCAGCCACATTAGGCCGTGCCAGCTCAGACATATCCGAGTCCCTAAGCTAGCCTAGTACAAGAGGCTTCGGTGGCCCAGCAGGGCCCTGGGAAGGCTGGTTCTAGCTCTGTCTCTTGGAAGGACATTGGCAGTCCCCAAGCTTGGAGTTTAGGGGTCTTCTCAAATGCCTCGATGCCCTTGATTCTGGGTTTGTGTTTTAGAGAGGCAGGAGTAATTGGGCGGGGTGGGGTGGGGTGGGGGATGGTGGCTCCAAGTTGGGAGTTAGGCAGTGAGGTTTTCATGGGGCTGTGGCTTTCTCCAGTTTCAGCCTCTGTTTTCTGACCCATATAATGGATTTTCTAGGTTCTGTTTGCTCAGGGCTAGGAAGACTGGATGCAGAAGATTTGCCAGGCTCCTGGTTCTCAGTGCATTTGCGGAGCCCTGTGGCTCACCTGGGAGGGGGCATCCTGTGTGGTGGCCGTGGCCTGGGCAGATTTTCACCTGTGCAGACTGGACCAGGAGGTGAGGCCCACGGCCTCCCTGGCAGAGCCAGTGCGGCTTAACTGCCCGTCATCTTGTTGATGTTTTCTTTCTGTCTCTCTGCTGCTTCTTTGCTCAGTTATTTACCCAGGGAATTTGGGCTTCTCCACTTGTGGTTTTGGCAAGCGCTTCACACAAATGTTTTGCCCTGGTGGTCTCTTAGCCATGTAAGATAAACGGCCAAATCAAATGCAGGCCTTGCCTTGCTCTGCCTTGCTGGCAGCTGAGACAAACTGCAGGGCTGGGTAGAGGAGAGGCAGCCTGGCTAAAGCCCTGATCTTTCCTGTCCTTGTTAGGAGGAGGGTACTTCCAAGCTAGGACCCAGCCATTGAGAGGGGTCAGGGCAGTGCCAGGTTTTCTTGGGGGCGGCCGGTGGAGGAGAGATTCAAAGCCTTTTTGAACACTGCTGGGGGCTGGGTTGCTGCTTGCTAGCAGGGGTGGGGTGGGGTGGGGAGGGCTGGAGAGAGGTCTTGGCTGCTCAGCTGAGCAGGAGGATAACCAGACCCATGGAGGTGGCTTTGGTGGCTCATGTCTATCCAAAGAGCCATTCTGATAGTGCAAGGGACTTTGGTTCCCAGCTTCTCAGCTCTTCCAGAGCTGGGGGATCCAGAATTTGTGGGAACAGATGATCAGTTGGAGCCTGTTCCAGTTTACTCCAGAAGAGTTCTCATGGGAGGAATTTTTCCTGGGAGTGGGACCCTGACAGTCCCTTTGTGACCCTACCCCCTGTACGAGGACCCTCCTGCCCGTCCCCCCCGCCGGAGTCCCTGCCCTACAACCACCCCTCCTGGCAGCTGCTCACATCCATGACCTGACCCCTCTTCTCCTGCCCATGTTTGGGTGGCCATGCCTGCAGGGCCAGCACCCCCTTGGGCCTCTTACCCTTCAAAGCTGGCCCAAAGCCCTGCGCCCCGGGCCCCTCCCATCCCCCCAAGCCCCTTGTGCGGTCCAGGGCCCGACTGACCAGTCTTTTCTATTGTTTTTTCTCCAGGGCCGTGCAGGCCTGCCCAGCTGCCAGCGATGGCCCCCATAGCTGCCTCCTCCTCCCACCCTCACACATCTGTGATTACTTCACCTCTGCGTGCCCTGGGCGCTCTCCCGCCCTGCTTCCCGCTGCCCTGCTGCAGCGCGCGCCCCCTGTCGGGCGACGGGACTCAGGGTGAGGGTCAGACGGAGGGTCCCTTTGGATGCCAGTGTCAGTTGTCAGGTAACGCAGCCGCGGCGGTGGGGGGTGGGGTCCCGGGATGGTGGGGTGTGTCCTGGGCCAGAGCTGGGGGCCCAGGATGGGGACCCAGGGAAGAAGCGCCACCCTCACCCCAAATGTGTTTTTTGAGGGTGTCGGGGGAAGTGGTGAAGGATGTCAACTGAACTGTAAAAACCAGTGCCTCCACCCGTCCTGAGAGGCACACTCCCAGAATGCACTGCCCATCCTTCAAAGTTCATCTCTTTGGGCTGTTTAGCTAAAGCTTAATTGGATAACGCTTAACATGTGAGGCTTTTTCCCTGCCCTTTCCTCTGCCCGCCACCCCAGACAAGGTTAGCAAGCGTTCCTCGGTTGTCTGTGTACATCGCTGGAGCCATCCAAAATGCTGAGTTTCTCTTTAGGACAATGTGGTGCCCATTAACTTGGAGGGGGAAAAAAACGTTGCTCCAAAGGAGTCTTTTCAAGAGTTAGTGGTTGCCAGGCGCCAGTGGCTCACGCCTGTAATCCTAGCTACTCAGGAGGCTGAGAGCTGAGGATTGAGGTTCAAAGCCAGCCCAGGCAGGAAAGTCCATGAGACTCTTGATCTTTCATGAACCATCAAAATGCCAGAAATGGAGCCGTGGCTCAAATGGTAGAGCACCAGCCTTGAGTAAAAAAGCTCAGGGACAGCGCCCAGGCCCTGAAGTGCCAGGCTCTGAGTTCAAGCCCAAGTACACACACACACACACACACACACGCACGCACGCACGCACGCACGCACACACACACACACACGCACACACGCACACACACACACACGACTAGAAAAGAAAGAAAGAAAAAGGAGCTCTGTCTATGAGGTGGAAATGAAGCACTGTGTGTGTGTGGTGGGGGGGGCAGCACCCCTGTGTGTGCCCGGCTGCGGGCAGACCCCAGACCTGCACACCTGTGCCTTGCACTCCTGAGGTGGCTGGGAGTTTGCCCATTTTACTGAGGAGCCGGGAGGGTTGGGCAACGACACACACACACATCCCCCATCACCTACCTGTGTTCCCCTGACAAAACCAAAGTGGTATGGCCTGGCGTGTCTGGGAGTTTATGGACAGAAGGCCCCCTTGCAGCCTCCTGGCAGGGCCTGGTATGTACAAGCGCTGTGGTCGCTGGAGCCAGGATGCTGACACAGACTCACGTGGCAGGCAGCTGTGGCCTGGTTTCTGTGGCAGGGGCCAGGGAAGGAGAGAGAGAGGCTGCAGAGCCAGGGCAGATTCAGTTCACCAGGCATGTTGCAGGCTTTGTCTTGATTTGTGAAGGGAAAACTATTTATTGGGCAAGTTTTGCCTTTCACTGATGCTGTCTCAAGGGATAGTTCCGGTTGGGGCCTGGGGTCTGTAAAAGGCCACGAGTAGCCTCTGCTCTAGGGCCCAGTGGACCGACTTCAGCTGCTGGGGTGGCCTGTAGCAGTCGGTATCCCTGGCTGCTGTGACAGATGGTGACATCACAGAATCTGGCTTCAGGGCGGAGCTCTGGTTTCTTCCTGGGTCTCTGAAATGCATAAAGCAAAACCCAGATCACCCCGGAAGGAGTTAGAACAGCTTCCCAAAAGTCTAGTCCGCCTGGCCCGCAGCATGATCGGTGCTAACGCGCATCCCGGCATGGTGGATCTGTTCTGGGGGTTTGCAGAAGACCCCGCTTGATGAGTGTGGTGGGCCTGCTCGTCTCCAGGCTGCCCTGTTCTCCTGGCTTCCTGTAATTAGTACTCCAGCCCTGCAGCCACTCGGGGGGCCATGCTATCAAAGATCAGCCCGAGTGTTTACGACTGGACTCGGTCAAGTTCTGCATGTGGAAACATGATCTCTTCGCCAGAGGCGTACCACCAGGGTTTTACTTAACCCTCTGTTGGTTCTGGCTCTCCTGAGAGGCTGTCAGAGTTAGAGGAGAGGGACCCGAGTGCCTTCCCAACGTGGCTAGACTCGCCCGACATCTTTGTGTAGCACCAGGCAGGAGCCATTTCTGTCCTCATTTTGCAAACAAGGGGGGAGGGTGGCGGGGAGAGGCTCAGAGAGGGTGATGGCTGGGCCGAGGTTGAAGTCCAGGGGTCTGTGCTGGGCAAGCTTCTGGAAAGGTCACTGCGCTGCCCATTGAGCGGAGGAGAGGACAAACGGCTTCCCGCGATGGCAGCCGTCAGTCTGTCCCCACACTACCCAGGTCCTTACCATGCTGAGTGTCGAGGGGTGGTCGTGCCCTGCCTGGTACTGGGTGTTGGGGTGCATTCTTGTCTGTAATTCTCACTCCACCTGCTTTGCATACGTGCCTCAGAGACACAGGCCTCACAGCTCACAACCGTTCTTGCACCTTGTGGTTCAGCCGAAGGGTGGCATGTGGGTCCCTGCACCGCCCCCCCGCCCAGCAGCTGCCAGTCTGGCAGGGAGGAGACTTGGGAGCCTTGGGTCAGGGTGATTGGAGGTGAGGGTGCAAAGGCCGCATAGAGAGAAAGCAGGGGAGCAGGGGCTCTCCCACAGCACTGGCTTTGCTTTTGGTTTTTGCTATGGATGAAGAGCCCCTCAAAGGTACAGATCCATGTACAGCCTCCCCCACTACTCCCCCAATCTCTGTGTAGGGGGAGGCGGTGAGGAACCACCATATCTGTTCCAGGAGCCCTTCCTGAGAGACTGGCTGTAACTTCCGCCCTGGGCTCCACCCACACCCAGACCTCACAGCTCTTGCTTGTTGTTCGACTCTGTTAATTCATTAGCATCACCCTCTTCTCTGATCCCTTTCAGTACCTGAAAGTCTCCTATTCCAGTGGTTTGTTTTTATTTTTGTCCCTTTGTGGTTTCTGTCCCTGACACCGGACTGTTTGCTTAAGTGTTTTTAGTGCCTGTTTAATTAGTAGCTGGAATGGACTCATTAAGTCTCCAGCAGCCCATTAGGAGGAAGCGGTCCACCATAAAGCAGGACTGCCATCCATACTTTGCTTTGTCCCTTTTTCTGATAAGAGTACCTTGAACCTATGGCTTCACGGGAATAGGGAAATCTCTGGTGCAAGCGTGCTTCACACATGTTAATTGCACACTCACAAAGGCATTCTAGGTTATTAGGAAGGTATGATTTTATGGGCAAGAAAACTGTACAGGTATGCCTGGACCCACTCCAGGCCCCCCTCTGCTGCTCACAGTGGGAAGGGGGACACAGCACCCATTTGCTTTGAACTGGATTTAAATCCTGTGGGGCTTTGAATCAGGATGCTTCTGGGTACCAAAAGGTCCTCCCTGAGAAGTTCCACTTAGAGGATTTGCCAAGTGGTGGTAGAAAAGTCTCAGCCTGTGGTCCCGGCCTGTGCGTCTACCTGGCCAGTGGCCTGGAATTCGTCATTTCCCTTGGAGTCTCCGCTTCTTTTTTGTTTGGAAAGGATTCGTATCATGTATATGCATATAACAGTTAAAAGCAACAAGGCACCTCACATACCGATGCCTAAAACAGACCAATGTGAGTCCCCTGTGGATATTCCTGGGCAGGGAACTCTAGCCAGAGCTCCCCGGGGGGCTCAGGAGACAGCTAAAAATCACTGCCTCCAGCACTCTTCTGTCCTGAGGCTTCCGCGATCTGCCGCTAGGGAGTAAAGCAGGAGGCAGTGTGGATTCAGAAGACCTTTTTTTCCCTTCTTGGTCCCTCGTCTCTCAGTATACCGATCTGGAAAATGAGTGGAAGGCCATGAAGGTTGTTCCTGCGGATTTTGCATGAGGTCATATAAGCCAGGTGCTGGGAACACTGTCCTGCCCCAAGTGAGCTCCGCAGAGGTTATGATTCATGCATGAGGAGAATGAGTTTCACAAGAAGACAGTGTGACTTGCCTGGCACCATGTAGCATCTTCCTTCAAGCCGCATCCCTGGTTTCCATGCTTGAAGGCATTTGCCCTCTTGGCTGGCTTAGCTCCTGTACCAACATTAGAGGTGGAAAAGGAACTGAGCCACTTCATTGCATATTTAAAAGCTGCAAATGTTCATCAGCCGGAGTGATTAATACATGTGCTTGGTGAAGTTCAAGGTCTCACGCAAGAACACACAGGATCCCAGCTCGGGGAAGTGGAAGTGTTTGGATTTAATAGAGAGAGTCAGTAGCAGTCATTAGTATATGCTGAAAGCACAGGGCAATCTTGTAAAGTTAAATTCAATTTACTTTTCTACTGAAATTGTGCTTGCTGTGTTATTTAACTAGTCTGGGGCTTCTTGGCATGGGTTGAAGGGACAATAAAGATAAAAGAATTACCTGTAAGTAAATAGTAGGGTTTAACAGTGGAATCTGCCATTCTTCTCCTTCTTCAATTATATCACAGTGTTCATTTGGCGCTGCTTTTATAACTGGAGTGGTTCAATGGGATGTCGTGGATTAGACCACCCTCGCTGCGGGACGTGGTACAATTAATACAGTCTGTCTGGAAAGTGGCCTTATTTCTGGAAGTTTTATGTTACTGATAGGGTCTGTGCACTGTGCATTTCATACCAGAACGAGAAGGGAGCTGGAGTCACTTTTCTGGACTGGGTTTGATTAGCAGCCCAGGACCGGTGGGCAGCCACTCGGATGCTGACGGATGGCAGCCTCCACCGGGCCCCACCCCTGCGCTGCGTGGGTTCTGGTCCAGGGGGTGCCAGAGGCAGGGCAGTGGGGTGTTAGAACGTCCATTGAGATGCTGGAGGGAGAGGTGGGTGTGGGGGTGAAGAAGAAAAGATCTGTGGGTGTGAGGGGCGTGCAGGGGGCGGGAGACCCCTGCAGGAGGAGGTGGGCGTCCCTTTGTAGAGACACATTTGTTGTTCTGGACTTTCTGGGGCTCACCAGGTGCCAGGGCCGGTGGGGAGGGGTGGCTTATTGCAGGGGGACAAAAAAAGGGCTTTCAGGGAAGTTATTAAAAATTTAGAGAAGTCATCTGTGTGCCTCACCGTGTCTATGTTGCCCAAGGGGCTGGTGGTCCCCCTTTCCTCTCACCATCAATCAGCACTTGGGCATCTTTGCAGTGCCAGTTCTGCAT